CTGATGCAGTGACTCATGCCTATAATCCCAGCACTTTGGGAGACCGAGGCTGGAGGATTGCTTGGGCCTAGGAATTTAAGATCAACCTGGGCAACATAGCCAGACCTCTTTACAAAAAAATCAAAATATTAGTCAGGTGTGATTGCACATGCCTATAGTCCCAGCTACTCCGTAGGCTGAGGTGGGAGGATTACTTGAGCCCAGGAGGTCAAGGTTGTAGTGAGCTGTGATTGTGCCACTGCACTCCAGCCTGGGAGACAAAGTGAGCTTCTGACTCAGAAGACAAGCAAACAAACAAAAGAGACAAATATCCACAGGCCCATCAGCTGCCTGCCACTCTCCCAGTCCTGGAGGCTTGCATGTTCCTTGAATAGTGAATAGACAGTCACCCCCTTAATTTATATTTTTTCAAATTTGAATTTTCATCTTTTAAGTTTGTTAAGTACAACTAAACTGAAACAGAATAAAAAATAATCATATCAACCTCTAGTAGTATAGTACAGACCCCACAATCCTTAACCAAAGTTCTGGAGGTCAGGTACGTTTCAGAATTCAGAGAGAGTTTATTAGTTGTCTGTTGAAGGCAACAGTGCAAATGCATGTGCTTCTATTCCAAGTGGGACCTGGGGCAGCCCCCTTTGATCAAACACTTTCTTATTTCTGTAGTGAAGTGTATGAATACACTTCAATCTGTTTAGGTCAGGTCTGGATGCCAGTTTAGTCTAATGTCAACTTATTTTAAAAACAAAACAAGCCGGGCTCGGTGGCTCAGCCTGTAATCCCGCACCTTTGGGAGGCTGAGGTGAGTGGATTGCTGAGCCCATGGGTTTGAGACCCGCCTGGGCAGGCGAGACCTCATCTCTACGATAAATCAAAAAATCAGCCGGGGTGGTAGCGCATGCCTATAATTCTGGTTACTTGGAAGGCTGAGGCGGAAGGATCGTCGGAGCCCAGCAGGTCGAGGCTGTGGTGGCCGGGAGCGGCCACTGCACTCCAGTCTGGGCGACAGAGTGAGACTCCAACTAAAAAAAAAAATTAAAAAAAAAAACAGTGGTTGCCAGAAGCTGGGGGAAGGTGATGTGGGGAGTTACTTAATGGGTACAGAATTGCAGTTTTGCAAGATGAAAAGAGTTCTGGAGGTTGATGGTGGAGATGGTAGCACATTATAAATGTACTTATAATAATAAACGTAAACATGGTTAAGATGGCAACTTTTATATCTGTGTATTTTATCACAATAAAACAATTGGAAAAACAAAACCAAACTAACTTGATTTTCAGAGCTTTTCAGATTTCAGAATTTTTGAAATGGAATCACAAACCAATACTGAAATATAGAACCCACCCTTCTAGTCCTGACGCAGCGTTAAAAATAAGGTGTTCAAGCTGGGCTGGGTGGCTCAGCCTGTAATCCCGCGCCTTTGGGAGGCTGAGGTGAGTGGATTGCCTGAGCCCGCGGGTTTGAGACCCGCCTGGGCAGCGAGACTTCATCTCTACAATAAATCAAAAAATCAGCCGGGCATGGTAGCGCATGCCTGTAATTCCGGCAACTTGGAAGGCTGAGGTGGAACGATTGCCGGAGCCCAGCAGATTGAGGCTGCGGTGGCCAGGAGCGGCCACTGCACTCCAGTCTGGGCGACAGAGTGAGACTCCAACTCAAAAAAAAAAAAAAAAATAAGGTGTTCAGGTGATCTGTGCCTTATTTTCTTCTCTCAGACAAATTAAATTATGGCAGTATCTTCAAAATCAGACAATAAAATGTTCAAGTTGTTACCTCTTTCGTTGAATTTTTTTATTCTTCAGATAACTTATCGAGAATGGTGGAACAGATTATCCAATCCAATTTTGGTATCCAATGGGCATATCTCTGGAAAGAGTCCTTTGGGACAGTTGAGCATTCTTTCTCAATGATCCAGATCTTTATTGGCACCGTGAAGGCAGGAGAATTCAACTACAAACAAACACAAACCCAGACAAGTTCAGATAAAATGGTGACATGAGTGGAGTTTTTCAGGTTCCCAGTCTTGGCTTCCCAAGCTATGCCACTCCCTGACTCCTAGGACTTTTCACACTGTACCCCCAGTCCACACTACCTGGTCCTGTCTTATTGTTCCGTTGACATTTCCCAACTTCCTGTCCCTCAATTGAAAATTGTTCTATATCCCACTCCCTGAGGACACAGCAATTTACATGACAAAAAAGTTAATAAATGCACTAGTTCATGCAAATGGATTAACATGTTTACTGGGCCAATGTGATCCCCTCCTAGAGAACACAATTCTTATTTTGCCAGGGTGTATTCCAAAGGCAATGCTTTAAATCAAGGAGGTGTTTAGGGGAAGGGAAATAACCCTTAATTAAGAGTCTATTAGCTTTCAGGCTCTATCTATTTGCACAAGTTATTTCATTTAATATTTATTTAATGTCTCCATGACAGGTTAGTGTTATAAACCTATCTTTTACAGGTGAAGAGAACTGAGATTCTAAGGTCATCATTCAAGGTCACACAGCCAGTCAGCAGTAGCTCAGCCTTAAGATGGGAAACCATTCTCTTTCTAGCACTCCCCCATAAACACAAAGGGGTGCCTGGATCTCAAACACCAGGCCACCCACAGGAGATGATTTTGAAACAGGCAGGGCCTTGCGATTTCCACAGCCAACCAAATTCTCTGGTTATTTCCCTTCTTCTAACTTTCTGGTTACTCCTTGAGACCCCGCTGGTCAGTACATTATGCAAAACACAAAACAGGATGCCCTTTCTCAACTGTATTTGTAAAAAACATCTGCACATAGCTACAGCACTCCAAAAATGCCCTAACAAGAAAGAGCAATAATTAAGGGCAGAACACTTTGTGAGAAGGAAGACCAGATTCACAAAGGGCCGTTCAGCGTGCAAATGAAAGATCAACATCAAAATCAAAATGATGGTCCCTAAAGTGTTCTTGACACAAAACATCTGCATTTAGCAGACAGAAAAGACTCCCGGAACTGGCCTCAGCTAAATATACTCATGCCCGTGGCAAGCTGCTGGTACTCTTATCTCGCCACAGGGAGGCTAGCTCATGGCAAACTGAACTTCATCCTCTGCAACATAACTTCAGTCAGGGGTGAGCCTGTTAGCTTCCAGGCTCTATGCATTTGCACAAGTTATTTAATTTACTCCTCATTTAATATCCCCATGACAGGCTGGTATTATAAACCCTTCTTTTACAGGTGAAGAAATTGAGGCTCTGAGAATCGGCTCATTCTGTCAAGTTCTTATCCAATATGCTGTGGCACTAACTTCAATACCTATAACTCCATGAGGGCAAGTGTTTTCACCACTATATCCTCAGTGTGTAGAACAATGTCTGACATACGGCAATTCATTAGGTACTTGTTGAATAAAAGAATAAATGTTTTCACCTCCTTTCTCTGGAATTCCTCAAAGCCTGTACCATATTTATCCCACATATTCTAGTGTTCCCTCCAAATCTCTAAACTCTTCAGTTCTTTTCTTCTTCTTTCAGCCGAAGCAGCTTTAAAACAAACAAAAGAGCTGGGTGCAGTGGCTCATTCCTGTAATCCCAGAACTTTGGGAGGTTGAGGCAAGTGGACTGCCTGAGCCCAAGGGTTTGAGACCAGCCTGGGCAACTTGGTAAGACTTTGCCTCTACAATAAATCAAAAAATTCGCCGAGCATGGTGGCACGTGCCTATAGTTCCAGCTACTTGGAAGGCTGAGGCAGAAGGATTGCCTGAGCCCAGCAGGCCAAGGGTGTGTTGGCCATGAATGTGCCACTGCACACCTGGTGACAGAGTGAGACTCCAACTCAAAAAAATAAAATAAAATAAAAATAAAACAAACAAAAGATATTTTTACTGGGTATATGCATATTTCTAATTGAGAAATAGAAACACAGAATACTCTTAAAAATAAGAGCTAAAATGAAAAAGAGAAAACATATGGTAAATGCACAGTACATTTAATTCTTATCAAATGCAGACACATACACTGAAATTGTAGCAGCTGTGTTTCTTTCATAATTTAGGCATTTGAAAAAAAAGTGCAATGTGTTTATTTTAATGTCACTTGATGGCGTTTAAAATAATGTGTTTGTCTGTATGTTTAACCTCTTTTGCTAGAGAATTTTTAAATATTTAAAATCTAACCTATACCCCTAATTCCCAGCCCTCATCTTGTACTAATCCAAGAGGGGCAATTTCTCATAAACTGTGTGTTGACAGAATGTTCTAAAATATGTTCTAACCAATAAAATGGGAAAATTAATTTGGGAGCAACAATCTAAGCTTTGTTGTATTTCACAAAAATATCTACACTTAAAGGAAATGAAAATATCACATGTGCAATAGCACATAGGGTTGCTATGGCAACAAACCATATTTTTTATATTTTAGTCTTCAATCGTGATACATTTGAGCTATTACTACCAAATAATGTCAACATTCACCTCCTTCTGATCGTAGAGAGGTCTCTGGAATAAGCTGTACTTACTGTTCAAGGAATTAGCATTTTTCAAACAGTCTTCTGCCTCTTCCAGAAATCATAATTAAAATACATAAAATGATGACTAATATTTGGCATTGGGGTTACATTTGCGCTGTTATTTTTATTTAGTAGGGACACTCCTAAAATATATTTCTCAAAGAAATACAGCAGCCACAAATGTCAATTTAAACATTTATGGTATTGCTGTGTGTGTGTGTGTGTGTGTGTGTGTGTGTGTGTGAAGTACCAATAAGGTCTCCATGGAGAATAAGGAGAAGCAAGTTTAGAAAAATGAATTTGGTTTTACTAAATGGACATACAATATGGTCTACTTCTTCCATAGGGGTGTTTATGTGAACAGTTAAGAAATACCTCTTATCCTGAGCTATTCTATAGTATTTCACCAAACTTTTATTTTATTATTTATTTCAAAATATACCCCAGCATCACCTCTGTACACATCTGAATCACTACCAACTAATGTGAACAAAGAACTCTGCCACACCTATTTTGTTAGGTGGAGGATGGCTTTTCCAGCGTTTCTGTCATCTTCCTAAACTTCCAGGCCTGTGCTCCTCCAGCTACCTGGGAAGTGAACAGCCCTCAGAATAGTCATGTCTTTCACTACAGATCAACAGATCACCCAATAACAAGGTGCTTCCAGGTCAAGGGAAGAGGAATCTAATCTGTATCTGTCACTCTATCGTAACAGGATAAGACTGAGGGCTGGACAGGAGAGATGATGCAATGAAGAATAAAGGACTTTCCTAAAACAGACACCTCAGTCACCACAGTGGGTCCTTATACCTGCACACACTACAACAAAGCCAGAGAATTCAATGCAGCTTTCTCTTTGGGACAAATTGAGAGAAAACATGCCTATGTTATCCACCCATCCACATACATTCTTTTCTAATTTAACAAAAGGGATGTAGCTTTTCTGTCCTAAGTTTGATAAATAGATATTCTTCAATTTTATTTGTTTATTCCATAATTTTTAAATTTTAATTGACACATAATACATATGTGTATATATTTATGGCACAATGTGATGTTTTGATACATGCGTGTAGTGATCAAATTGAGGCATTTCTATCACTTCAAACATTATTTCTTTGTAGTCAGAACACTCAAAACCCTCTCTTCTCTCTGTTTTGAAATATATATTATTATTATTTTTTTTGAGTTGTGGTCTTATTCAGTCACCCAGGCTGAAGTACAGTGGTATGCTCACGGCTCATGGCAGCCTTGACCTCCTGGGCTGGGGCAATCCTTCTGCCTCACCCTCTAGAGTAGCTGGGACTACAGGGGTATGCGACCATGCGTGGCTAATTTTTTTATTGTTTGTAGAGACGAGGTCTTGCTGTGTTGCCCAGGTTGGTCTTAAACTCTTGGGTTCAAGCGATCCTCCCACATTGACCTCCCAAAGTGCTGGAATTACAGGCATGAACCACCTTGCCACGTTGTGAAATATACATTATTGTTAACTGCAGTCACTCTACTGTGCAAAGGACCCCACAACTTTCGCAATGGAATACTATTCATCCACGAAAAAGAATGAGATCATGTCATTTGCAACAGCATGGATGAACCTTGGAAGAAATTACATTAATTGAAATAAGCCAGACAGAAAAACAAATACTGTATGTTCTCATTCATATGTTGAATCTAAAAAGTTGACCTCATAGAAGTAGAGAATAGAACAGTGGTTTCCATTTGAAATTCATAAAAATATATCTCTACTGCTGTCTTTCATTCCAAATAGGTCATCTTCAGTGTCTTCCAGTCGAGGGGAACCACATCGTCATTAGGCAACAAGAATTCTGTGGAAAAAAAGGGGGGGGAAATTTTTATCTCTAATGTCACATAGATTTTTACCCTAAATGTGAATATATGCAAAAATGATAACTAGACCATCATAACGTTAAAAGTCTGGTTTTGAAGATATTTCAGTGATGGCTAAAGCAGGCATTTGTCTCAAGCCTCAATTCAAAACACTATCCAGGCTCAATGAAAATTTTTATTATTTATGAATGCAAAATGATACATTATTGTAGAGATCAAAGTCACTTCATCTTTGATGCTAATCCACCATGTTGACTTCCGATTAACCCCAGTTCCAGGAAGGCCTCTGAGATTTCCAGTTTCTCTATTGTACTTTGTGTAAGAGCAGATACTTATCTTAGATCCTACCTTGAGGTCAAACAACCTTGATATTATCATCCTTCAACTGTCCTACAAGTCCCTCTAGGATCACCCCTTCCCTATGGTATACAAGCCGTTGGTCCGGGTGGTAATGGTGTTGAGATCCACCATCTCATCTCACCTGACATGGACATGGTTTCTGTTTGTAAGTTCCTGTTAAATGATTCTTTCTAAGAAACTGGACATGTTCGCTTCTTTCTTCAGCCTCTCAGCTTCCTTGAACTTTAGGAGTGAGTTTGCATAGACCGGCCCACCATGAAAAAATCACAGCTCATATTCTCATGTAAGCCTAAATGTATACACGTGACAATATACATATATAATAGTTTTAAGTGGTACTGTCACAGGGCATAAAATTTAGGTTGTTATCCTTTCCTGTCACATGTATGAAACACCAGAATTATAGCAAGTTTAGTCTCCTTTCAAATTGTTCCTGCTACACGTGAGTATCTGAAGGAAAAGACCTCATAAAATTAAGTTGGTCATAAACAAGTCCAGACACTGACATGCACATATCAGCCCTACCAAACCACAAAAAATACTCACATATTCCCGGCACCATAAAGAGTTTGGTTTCTTAGGCCTATATATGGCCCTACTATATAATCCTCCAGTCTATAGAGCTCTTAATACCAAGATTCATTTGAGCTCTTTGCCTTATTTACAAGACCAATGATCACACACCAGAGATTGGTTTGTCCAGTCTAGTCTAACAAATCAGTTTACGGGTTCCACTTACTGTTTCTTCCTTCCCTTTTAAACACATGCCATTTCCAAATGTGAAATTCTTTCCCTCTGCTTTTCTTTCAAGTCACATTCTTTCTCTCTTGTACAAACACCACTTATAAGTCCCCGCCACAATGAAGGCATCCCAGACACAAACATAACCCCATATTCTCTTCAACTATCCTTTTAGCACTGCTAATCTCCCTCATAAAATATTCATAAGCTTATCATTTATATTTTCTATGTAAAGTAATTTTGTTTTGTGTTAGTCTTGTCTCCCCATTTAGAAGGTAAGCTACTTGATGAATGAGGTCTATTTCCTTTAAAAGGCTTTCTGGAGTTTAATTAACGGATGCTTGATCATTGTTGATTATGATGATATTGTGTATTCAGGAGAGGAGGAAGTTTAGAATCTTTTCACAATAATGCTTTCACACTTTCTGGTGCTCACCTAAGGCAGTGATTGTTCATCTTTTGGGGTTGTGAACCCCTCTGAAAAGCTAATAAAGTCTATGAGCTCTCTTCCCTAAAATGGCAGAAAATGACAAAAAATTTTGCATACAATTTCAGAATATAGACCTTGGACCTAAAATGTCTTCAATTATCATTTTAAAATCCACAAAGCAAATGTATTTTAATTTTTAAAAAATTGGTGTGCTTTGCAGGGCGAGGTGGTACATGCCTGTCATCCAAGCACTTGGGGAGGCTTAGGTGAGAGAATTGTCTGAGCCCAGGGGTTCGAGACCAGTCTGGTGAGATCTCATCTCTACAACAAATCAAGAAAAATTAGCTGGTGGCAAACACCTATAGCTCCAGCTGCTTGGAAGGCTGAGGTGGGAGGATCGTCTGAGCCCAGCAGGTCGAGGCTGCAGTAATGCATGTCACTGCACTCCAGCCTGGGTGACAGAGTGAGACACTGACTCCAAAAAAAAAAAAGTGAGTATGCTTCTTTGGTGCATCAGGGAGGGTAGAAAAATTGAAGCAAGCCGGGCTCGGTGGCTCAGCCTGTAATACCGCGCCTTTGGGAGGCTGAGGTGAGTGG